GAAAAGACACATTTTCCTGATACTAAAATCTATGTGGAATCCATTAAATACATTTAGACATCTTTGGGTCTATAAGACACATCCCAAACATCTGCTCTCAACTGTGATTTTGCAAAAATGAAGAAATATTCTAGATAACATCATGTAACTTCTCCCTAACAACAAAAGTCTAAAAAAAATCTCAAGACTTAATTAAGAAATGGCTCAGGTAACAATAGCCATCTGGTGATTCAGGAAGAGGGGGTGGAGTGGGGGAATTTGCTGGACTTCCAACTTCTGCTGAGGATACTGAAGGAAGGTGAGGGCATCCTAAGAAGGACAGCTGAACACAAGAGCATCCACAAGATCCTAACTGTCCTTACCACAACCAGAAAGCAGAGCTCTCAGGACAAGCAAACCAACCTCAAGCCCGAGGACTGACCCCGACTCACCAGGGCCACCGTTCTGTGATTTCAGTTCTGCATATGAAATACTCAGGGCAGGCAAATCCATGGAGACAGAAGGCAGACTGTGTTTCCCAGGGACTGCGGAGGGGAGAGGGGAGTGACTGCTTAACGGGTACATGGTCTCCTTTGGGGATGCTGAAAACATGGGAACTAGGTAACGGTCAGGTTGGACAGCACCGTGAATGTCCGAAATGACACTGAATTTAAACCTTAACATGATTAGTTTTATGTTTTGTGAATTTCACCTCGATTAAAAGATGGAAAATAAATGGGAGGAGAAGAGCATACAAGAAGAGATGGGCACAGGCTTTGCTTATCTGGGGCTGCCCAGGTGGATGTCAGAGGAGACAGGTGAAGTGCGAGGAGCCAAACTCCTGACAGCCGCAGACACACGGAGACCCCACGCCCACCAGGCAGGCTTCCTCCACAGAGTCACCGTGTTCATCAGGAAGATCCGGAAAGGTCAAGGTGTCCAGGAGAAGGGTCCAGGGAGCTTTCAGAGGGGAAGGAGAGCTCGATTCAGGACCAGCAGGGTTCTTGGCATATGTGATGGGAAAGAATTAGTACAAGCCAGGCAAAGGCATAGACAGATTCATTTAGGAAGTAGATACCAGGAGAGATAGAAAGTCCAGTGGCCCGTTTTCAGAATACAGTATGTAGCCTTAAATGTAAAATGTCTCGCGATGTAAGAAGGGCAGGCGGAGGGGAGAGCAGGATGGAAAGTTCCAAGCAGGTAACACTGAAGTGTAAAGTCCACAGCCCCTTGACAGACAGGAGGGGAGAAGGGCGGGCCACCTGACCAAGAGAGAGAACCCTGTAGGTGCCAAAGGGCACTTTTCTTTAAATGACCTAAGAGGAAATAGTATAACCTAGGCCATGTTCGATGTTCATTCAGGAAGATTGTGTGCCCCCTAGTGCTCAGCCAACTGGCGGGGGGGGGGGGACCTTGAGCTCCAGGGAATAAAATGCTGGCTATGCCCGACTTGGGGGTGCCTGCTGCCCCAGTCACCCACTCTTGCAAGACCAGCAGTAAAAATCCTCACTACACCTCGTGTCTCTCAGTCCATTCTTTGGCTTTGGAGAGCTGAGGGGGTTTCTTACAGACAGTGTTCAAGGGAGAGTGTGTATGTTGGAGAGGGGGGTCTCCACAGAGATGACTGTGGGGTCAAGCAAGGACTAGCACTCAAGGGAGAACACCAGCCATCTCCAGAAGGAGAGGTGGCCACCCCTTGGGGTGGGTGTTAGCATTTATAGGGGGCTGCTGCTGGGGGCTAGAATAGTGGCAGAGCTGGGCGCAGTTGCCCAGTTTCCCACCTGGGCTTGCTTATTGCCCTCATTTTACAAGGGCTGGGGTCAAGGGCACATGGGTCAGGGCTTATTCCTGAGTGCTTTTTGAGTCCTGATGGCTCATGGGTGTTTCCTTTAAAACTCACTGTATCTCTCTTTATCCTAAATTCCTTCCTCAAAGAGACAGGAGGAAAGGGCCCTGATGTGCAGCCCGTGGGGACACACAGGGGCTTCTGGGAGGCGGGGAGAAGCCCCCTGGGCCTCCTCTGTAGCTTGGCCACAGATCTAACAGATTCAAACAGGGAGACGATGGAAAGACACGTCAGAGAGGAAGTCAGAGAAAAATCTTAAACGAAATTAGAACCCCGCAGCCCTGCATGCTCAAGTTAGAAAAGAAGGTGGCTTACAGCAGAAGGATTGGAAAAAGAAGAGCAGATTAAACCCAAGGAACACGGAGGAACCTCAGCAGCAAGCATCAATGACAGGACGGTACTGATAAAATCAAAACGTGGGCCTCTGAAATAGTCAGTACATTTGCCTGTGACCAGGACGAAAGGAAAGCAACTCCAGGGAAACTCTAAGAAGACCTAGAAGGGCCGCTCAAGGCTTGGCCACACAGCTACGGGGCAAGTCCTCTGCCCCGTCACTCCAACCCAAGACTTGAATCTCATTGGCCCTGATGAGACTGTTCTAGGTCACATGTCCATCCCTGAGCCAATCTTAATAAGGGGGTGGGACATTCAGTTGGCTTTGTCTAGGGCCCCTGCCCCAGTCCTGGGACTTGGGACTGTGCCCACCTGGTCTGAAGTTCCCTCAGAGAAGGAAGTACGTGAGGCTGCCCAGGGGAGGTACCCTGCAGTGGAATATGAACTATCCACAGAGGCCCTTCAGGGGAGGAAGAACTTGACCTAGGCAATGCCATTTTGGAACATATCCTCCCTCTTAGAATAAGAGTCACCCCAGGTCACTCTGACTCAGCCTGACCTAAACCCCAGATGATACGTCACCATCTTGCAAAGAAAGAAAATTGTTATCCTGAAAATCCCTAGTTCCTTATGAAGGTGACACCACAAGGACCCTTCCCTGCTGACCCCCTCGCATGGCCTAACTGCAAGAATTCCCCACTCCCCCATTCCCCTATATCTGCCCCAGGCTGTAAGCAGAAGACAGGCTGTCTCCCCTGGGTCCCCGCTGCTCCGCAGGTTTGTCCCCAATAACCCTGTGTCACTGCTGAGCCCCTCTCCTCTCTAATTTGCTTCTTTCCTTCTGGTGGTGGTGGCCGTGTTCCATCACCCCAGAAGGACAGGACTGCGGAAGCCTGTTCTGTGGTCCTAGCAATGTGATTGGTCTCAGGACTCCAGGGGCCCACCTTGCAATCCTGGGGTGCAGCCCAGGGAGGGGCAGGCAGCAGGAGACCATCCTCCTTAGGGTCCTCTTCCTGCTCTCTGCCCCAATTGGGGGCCCTCCAGGCTGGGTCAATGAAAAGGAACTTCAAGGAGGTGTCCTGATTCCAGTAATAGACCTCAAGTTGCCCTTCCAAACCTCTCAGCCTCTTCTCTTTAACAGGACGACAGCAGAAGGAGCAAGAGGGTCATTTTTCTCAGCTTCATTTATCACGCTGTTGCCTGGGGACTGCTCTGTGATTAACTTTCCCTTCCTTCCTCCCTGGGGACACAGCTGCACTTCTCACTGTCATTTTGGGTCCAACAAAGAGCCGCAGTTTACCACGAAGTGGCGCGGTGTGCAGGACAGGAGGGTTAACGGTCAACAGAGGCCTGTTTTGTTAGTGGTACTGGTGCTGGCTCTTTTTTCCAATTCCAGCCGCTGTCAGTCATTTCATAAGAATTGCAGCAGATATAGCCCTCAGGTGGCATCTGAATTATGAATAACTCGGCTCAGTCTGGCTAAATATGGATGAGCCTCTGGCGCTTTGATTGTTGCGTCAAGACATCAATAAATACCTATTAGAGGATAAACTCATTAGGAACTAACATTGTAAATGAGAATAGAAGGCGTATTTACAGTGGTGGGGAAATCAATGGGCCATTGCCTAATTATATCAAATACTGATTTGATTTTTCTACCTCCAAAGGAAACCTTTGAAGTGAAGCATTCAAATTAGAAAAACATCAACACGGTGTGGCAGTTTGAAAACAACTTGACAATAAACAGAGAAGACAGGCTGGCAATGCTACCAGTAAGGGCGACTTTGAAGTCCCTGAAGCTGTGAACCTGCAGACTCACCCAGAAGGATGGGTGGGCTGCACAAGCACACACCAATCGGGCGGAGACATGGCGACATCCCAATTTCCAGGCTGAGAGTTGAGGTCTTGTCTATGGACTTGCTCCATAAGCAAATGACTTGTTCCTTAAGTCTGGGAGGGTCAGGAAAAAGGCAAGAACATGTATGTGTTGGAGCCAAGAAATGAGAATCGAGTGCCTGCTCCCCAGAACTCCTTCCAGAGCACAGGCCCAAGGGCCCATGATGGAGCTAAGGGTCAACATCAGTGCCCATGCCCTGGGGACACTCTGGAAAGCTTGGGATGGGTAAAGATGTAGTTCTCTACCCAGACTCTTTCCCAGCATCGGCAGGAGTTGGCGCTCCTTAGCAGCCAGTCTGGTGAAACTCAGTGAAGCCCCACCCTACAAGTGTCTGGTTCACTGTGACTGCTTGAGTCCTCTTCCTATCACTATGACAAGAACACTTTGAAGGAGGAAACGCTTATTTTGGACTTACAGTTTCAGCTGTCTCAGTCCTTGGCTGGCCAGCTCCATTGATCTGGGTCCGAGGTGAAGAACATCGTGCGTGAAGGACCCAGTGGAGCCGGGAAGCAGAGAGAGAACAGGTCCAATCCCAAGGGCATGCCCCCTGTGGCCACCTCCTCCAGCCATGACCCACCTGCTACAGTTAACACCAGTTAGTCCACTGAAATTCCTGATCCATCAAGTGGATTAATCCACTGATTAGGTCACAGGTCTCGTAATCTAACCACTGTACTTGAACATCCCTGCACTAACACAGGAACTTTTGAGGGACATCTCATAGCAAGCCATGACAATGAGACACCCCCCCACTCACCCTCACCCCTGCTCCCAGTGACCCAGGCTTTGCAACCTGTTTCCCATCCCAAGGACTGTGCTTGACTGGGGACAGGTGCTGTCAGATCCTACCAGCAGACAAAGGGGACGTCAGACTTCCTGTGTGAGCTGCTGAATTTAGCTGCATGCTGACGACCTGCCCCTGCCTCCGCCCTGGTGCCTGCTGCGTCTGCTCCCTGATCCACGCTTCAGACCTTGGCTGCCCCTGTAGTTCTTTGTTGCCTTTCCGTGTTCAGTGTAGCAGGAGAGATATTTTAGGCCAACCTCCCTGACCTCCGTTTCTTTGAGGGTAAGCTCAAAGGCAGTCTTTTGTTGTTCTTTAAATTATTTTTTAAAATTGCTGGCATGGTCTTGGAGCCCATTTGTTGGTCATCTTTCCCTGGAGGCTGTGGACTCCTCCTCCGGGCTGTCCACCTGCAGGTCCGGAGAGCTTTCTCAGCACCTCCTGCTATTGCACTCTGCTCACGTCTAGGGTGCTCTTCTCCAGGGGCAGCCATTGTTCACGAATTGCGTCCATTATCTTGTTTTTCTCATCTTTTCACTCTCTTTATTCATTTCCTTTGTGACACTCCCAGGCCGCTCAGGTTCATCTTTGGCTTTGCTGATTTGATTTTCTTCCTACTGAGGCTGACTTTTCTCCTCCTGGGGTGGGTTTGATGCTGGCTCCTTTCCTGATACCTTTCCACTCGTCCCTGGGCACGTGCTCACCCTCTGCTGAGAGAACTAACCAAGAGCTGCATCCTGAGGCTCACACAGACCTGAGCAGGTGGCTTCTAAAAATCCCCTCCTGGCATCTGCAATGAATAGAGCCACTGGGCGGAAAGACCCTCGGAGTCACTCATCTGACTTGTCCAGTGACTGAAAAATCCGTTTCCAGGTGACACGTCTGGACTTTCAGATGTTAAGCCAGCCTAGGGAGGGCCAGACCCAGGGTTGCCAGGCAGTGTTCTGCAGGTCTTCACTCCGAGGATGACTCCAATCCATCCTAGGACGCTCTGAAAAGCCTCCTGCTGGCCTGTCAGTTCTGGTGAGTCGACTCTTCTGGGGGGAAAGGTCAGATTGGATGCAGTCGCTTACACCTTTCCTGGGACAGGACGAGACATTGTCACTGTCTCCCTGGAGGTCTCCCTGTGTGACCTCATCTCCCTTTGTGATCGCATCTCCCTGTTCTTCCTGAACCAGATTTTTACCATGGACTCCTTGACCCACTCAGTTTCTAAAAAGGGACTCCAAACTGCTTGCCCACTGCACATCGCCCCCTTTCAGCTTGGAGTAACAGCAATGGTCATCGCCCTTTTCTCCTATAGCAGTAGGAGGTCCCTAATATTAGAGGAAAAATTACGGTCAATATAGATGTTCGCCAATATGTCTAGCTCAGAAAGATGTGCCTGGAAAACTACTCCCAAGATCACAAGGGGTGATCTCCCAGAAACAGACGCTTGCTTCCACAACCCAACTTATAAGTGGAACAACTCCCTGTTCACCAAAAATTGTGCTTTCTGGGTCCCACTTTGAACTCCTTGCCTAAATTTCCAAACTGTCAATAACTCTGAACTATGTAACCTATTATTTTGATGGAGTAAAAGGAAAAGAACATCTGGACTTATTAAAAGGCCAGGGCCCACTGATTTATCAACATAAACTGGCTACCCCCATTTTAGTTCCCCTCCTGGCTGGTTTTGGAATAGCTGGATCTACTGCTTTGGGAACTGCAATTCTTATCACAGGCTCTAAAAATTTTAAGTCCCTCAGCTGTCAAATAGATATAAATTTAAACTTTAGGCAATTGGTTCCAAAACCCATTCTCATGGTCCCCTTGGTTGACTACTATCATTTCAACTGTAGTTGGGCCCCTAGTCCTTCTCCTGATTGGGATTGCTGTAGGACCCTGCCTCTTAAAAACCCTCCTAAACCATATACACAAGAATGTAGTTGAGGTCAAGACTTATGGTCTTGCAAGCCCAGTATGGTCCCTTAGACACAGAAGGATGAAAAAGAAACAGGCCTAATGATGTGCAAGTTTGACATCAAACCTACTAAAACCAGTGGGGAATGTGATAATAGAAGCAAATGTGTCTCCATTTTGTTTTATGATTTCATCCTGTAAAACAACCAGGCCAAGTAGAAGGGTCATGACTGGGGCAAGATGTTCTTTTCCTCTTGCTCTAGAAACCTTTAAGAACACGGAACTACCTAATGGGGCATTGTTTCTGTAACTAGGGTAACGGGGCTCTGTTTCTGTAACTGGGGTGACTGGGCTAACTGTGATTGGTTAGGCTTCCCTCCGTTTGACTGCACTCTCCCGCTTCTGTAACCTGGCTGGCTTGCATTGGCTAGACCCCCTGAACATCCCTTTTGCAGTTTTCAGGCTTACAAGGAGCACCTTGCAATTGTTTGGGGCTGATCAGGGGAACAGCTTTATGTTCTGGTCAGTTGCCACCGGTTTGCTTCAATAAAGGCTTGATTCGATTATACGTGAGTGGTCTGGAAGTCAGTTTATGAAACCCTGGGACGAAGCTTTAACTATAACATCTGGGGGCTTGTCTGGGATCCATTTCTTCCCTACCCTCTCGCCAAATTTGCCTCCAACGATGGGTCTTTATTATGTCCAACGCTGGAGGTGTCCACTGCAGGAGGCCCATCCTGCACCACTTCCTCCTACAGCCAGAGCAGAAGTCCATATTCCAACTGTATTTATCAGCATAGAAATACTATTGACGTTTTCATGTATCTTGCAAACTCTTGTCTTCATCTTCATAGCTTATCTGAACGTTCTCCTTAGTGTGTTACGTGTTTAAGAAATACCTTGTACCATGTGTGAGTAAAGATGACATTATCTCTTCCTTTTTGTATACTTACTATTTCTGTTTTCTTGTCTTATTTCTTTCTCTAGTGACCAGAGCAGATTGTTTTTTTTTTTTAATTTTTTATTGTTGGCTGTTCAAAACATTACATAGTTCTTGATATATCATATTTCACAATTTGATTCAAGTGGGTTATGAGCTCCCCAGAGCAGATTGTTGATGAAGGCCATCCCTCCGTTCCTCAAGGCAGACCCAAGAACTAAGGCCCAGGGACTGGCCTTAAGAGCTAGTGTGTGCTATAGACTTGTAAAAATACTTCTTTTTCCCAATTCCAGGGGGATTTTCAATTCATTTGGTGATGGATTTTCTGACCACTCTCCTGTGTCTGTGGAGTTTCCCTTTGCCTTCTCATTTTCTTAACATGGCCTACTTCAATAGCACCTCTTCCCACTTTTGAAACACCATCCATTCCTGGAATACACTGGCATTGCTGTTTTAGAACCCAACATTGAGTTGTATTTGGCACAATGGTTGGCAGCAGAGGTGTGTTCATCAATGAGCTGGTCTCTCTCTCTTCCTTCCTTCTTTGCTCCTGAAGGTGGACATTGGCTAGATTTTTCAAATGACTCTGAAGGCTTTCCTTCTGTTTTTTAGTCTCTTGGATGGCTAAAATAGTTCAGTTTTGAAGGTATGGTAAAATATACCACAAACACATCCAAATCTGCTGCCTTTTTAAGCAGGAATCGGTTCCTTTCAGTGTCTGTTGTTTTAATAAGAATTCCTGTTTCTTCACCAGCTGCGCGACTTGTGACTCTGAAGAGAAGTAAGCAGAGTAGCCCCTAAAGCTCTGGTGACCTCAATCTCACGGGGAGGCTGCCCTTGATCTCCCCCCCTCCCCAGGGGAGGGGCTGTGCTGATACCAGTCTTCCTGGGGGCAGGTGGGATGAGCACCCATGAGTCACCAGGTGCATGTCCCCACACTCCTGTGCAGCTGCCTGCACCCCCAGAGCCCCAACCTTCTCTCATGTACCACACCCACCTGATGGTTCCCCTGCTGCCCCACCCAAGTTACCAGGAGGGGCAGCTGCCTCACTGGACAGTGAGCCCTTGTCCTGCACAGAGGGATGGACAGGTCCCCAGCATGTGGCAATGAGGTGGTGAGACATAGGGGCTACCAGCTTCTTTTTTTTTTCCTGAATTTGACTTTGATTAAAACATTTTAATTTAAATTATTTTAGGATGCCGGGGAGCACGTCCTGAGCCCCATTATCCTGTTCCTTCTACAGTGCTCCATTTGCCCAGCCTTCCAGTGTGTGGCAGGGAGTTGCCCTTGCAGGGTCCACGGCCTGTCATGGGGAGCCCTGTCACCGCCTCGTAGCTCTGTTGTGCCTCTTTCTCCTGCTATTTGACGTGGTTTCTCATGGACTGGCTTTTGATTTCGTTGGTCTTTTATTGTTCCCTTGTTTTTCATTTTATTAATACTACTTTTAAATTTGTTATTTTCTTCTTGTTACTTCTTTTTGTTTCACTATTTTTTCTTTTTCTAACTTGGAAGAATTAACTCATTTATTTAAAATTCTATTTTTAATAAATGCTTTAAGGATATAATTTAAACACCCAGTACTAATTTTACTTTCTTCTTCTTCAAGTTTTACATAGTATTTTCAGGCTGTTCAATTTAGATACTCTGTAATTTTCATTGTGACTTCCTCCTTTTATGTGAGTTATAAATAAATAAATTTTAAAATGTCTCCATATCTGGAGGGGGAGATGTCTGCTATTTTATCTGTTATTGTTGATTTTTAGTTTGGTTGGATCATAATTGCTAGCTTGATCTGTATCTTATAGAAATGTATTAAAAATTACTTTGTGATTTAATACATGATCACTTTTTCTGGAATGTCTATTCTGTATTTGATGTAAGAGGAGATTTTTAAAATATATCCTGTTAGTTTTAATTTTGTTCATGATTATTTTTTATCCTAAATATTTTCTATGTTCATTTCTAACATGGAGATGCTGATATTTCTCTCAAAAGCTTAAAATTTGCATAATTTGAGGCTTTTTGCATATTTGATTTTGTTGTATCTGTTGTCTTTTTTTTATTTCACTGATATCTACTTTATTGTTGTTGTTCATTTTACTAATTTAGAGTGTCAATTTTTGTACCTACTAATGCTACGTATATTATATTCTACTTCTTCTATTATTAATATTGTTGTCCTAATTTTCATCAGCATCTGTAAGCTATACCATTTATCATCTTTTTATTTAGACTTGACTATGCAGTTTTATGTTATTCTGTGTTTTTTGTAAGTGGTGTTACCTATATTTGTAAACATCTCATGTGACAATCTCTGCTTTTTAACTGACAAATAGAATTCATTTATATTTACTGAGATTCTGATATTTTAGACTCATTCCTCCCATTTCACATTTTCTATCTGTCATTCTCTCCGTTTTCTTTTTTAGTTTTTTCCTTTGTATTATTAAAATAATGAAAATTTTATATTCTTCTTTTCTTCCTCTGTTGATGAAGAAGCCACAGACTGAATTTTTATTGATTTGATGATTATCCTTTAAGTTATAACTCAACTGTAAGTTATTTTTCTGGCACTTTCTACAGTAATTACTAGTTATTTATTATCTATTCTCCTTTAAATTGTGGCAGGACTTTTGTCTTGCTTCTTGCCCCTGACAAACCCCACACTCTTGTTATTGTGCTTGGATACTATTACATCCTCTTTACCCCACACATGTGCACACACATAGAAAGGACTTCTGCAGTCGACGACGGACATACTCACTGCCACATCTACAACAAGTTCTGGGCTTGTTACTACTTCCCATGTGCCATCTTTCTGTGTTCCCTTTTCTTCTATCTGAATGTATTCGTGCTTTATTTAAATGCAATAGAAAATGGCATTAGCTAGTTACAGAGAAGTAGCTTATTTAAAAGATGAGAGAGTTGACAGAATTGTGAGGTGGCATGGAGACAGGAGTTGAGGCTGAGTTTCTTGGAATAATGGCCCAGTCCCTTCCTCAGGTCTGACCTGGTGGAAGACCACCTGTGCCTCCTCCATCAGTGGGCACCTGATGGGGCAGTTTCCACGGCCCGGAGGCAGGCTCCCACGGCCACGGGAGGCAGGCCCCGGGCAGTGTCGTCAAAGGTCCTACACACTGAGCTCTTTGAAGGAAGATGCTCCGTGGCCCAAACCTGGAGTCCCAAGGTGGGCCCCTCCTCTGGGCCAGAGTAACCGCGTGATGTTTGGAAGCCTCTGGGCAGGATGCGTCACCTTCCCTGGTTACTGAGCGGATCCAGTCTTTACATCTGCACAGATGCATGGGGATCTGTTTTACACCTTGGTCTACAATCCAACCTGCTTTCTCTGTTTTGCTGCTCAGGTGGCTCCAGTGCTGTCCCTGGAAACTCTTGTAATTGGCTCCTGAGCCCTCTGACATCAATGGCTGCTATGTAAGTTTTTTTTCTTTAGCATTTTTCTTACTTTTTGATACAAGACACTCCAGGCTCATCTATTTCCCTCCCCAGTCCTAGGACCTGCCTTGTCCCATGGAGCTCTGGCTCCTTTTGTGGGAGAGTGACACTTGAAACCGAGATCCGGGTTGCACATGCTCTCCTGGCACATTCCATAACCTGTCCTTTGACTGACGTGATTGATGATAATGACACCCAGTTATGTCTTCAGAGTTTAGGGCTTGAAAGGCAGATGCCTCTCTCCTGTTTACTGGCCACATTAAAGAGCAAGCTGGCACCGTTTGAGGACATGGGGTTTCCTGCTGGGACTCAATAGCTATTACACGTTCTTACATTGTGATAACGTAGAATTTATTTTTGTGCAAAAGATTCTCCCCGTTCTTGGTAAGAATGGCTTGAGAGCCGTTAAATCATGGCTTGTTAGTATCACCTTTGTCCTGGGAGAAGTGAGAAGTGTCATTTAACGTAAGGCAAGGGCTCATGGAGTAGGCACACGGGGACCAGAGCACGCAGGTGCCGAGGCTCCAGGGCTCCTTCCTGTGCTGTCCAGAGAGGGTGCTACCACCGAGAAGGGAGTGGTGGCCATCAGGGGCCAGGTGGGGGCAGAGCAGTCAGGAAGGAGGGGAGCTGGAGGAGCCAGGACGGTAAGTGAGGTCAGTGCAGAGATCTCCAGATGAGATTTAAGATGGTGATATTCACGTCGTGTCCTCAGGCTGGGAGGAGAACCTGGGGGTGAGGGACGGTGCCTTCGCCCCTGCTCTGGAGGCAGCCTGGGCGTTTCTCGGAAGTAAGACGAACGCTTTGTCTTCTCTCTAGGACAGCAGAACGCCTAGGCCTCTTTCCTGCTGCTCAGTGATGCCCTCTGGCCCTGGCGGAAGCCCCCTGAGTTCACACCCCACCGGCTGCACCTAGTTCTAGCAGGCACGGGTGGAAGCCGAGGGGCCGGGACTGGCTCTTGGCTGCTGGCGGCCCTCAGCTGGGCAGGCAGTTTTCTTTAAGGGCATCCTTTAGAAAAGGCAGAGCAGAGGAGCACTTAAGGTGTTCTCACACCAGGAGATGGGTTCCGTTCACCCTGCAGGCTGACGCGACTGCATTTTACCTCTAACCAGGTGGTTCCCGGTACAGAGAGACAGGTGCAGAGCTGAGTATTGTGGGAATTGTGCTGACTGGGCTCCTGCTGGGGACACAGGCCTGGGGCTTGGAGGGCTGGCTGAAGCCTGCTCTTTTATTGAGCCCAGTTATTCACATTGACCCTGTTCCACCACGCTCTTAGCACACTCCTAGCAGATCCTCTGTTTTCTTTCTGGCCCTAGGATTGAATAGAGTGGTGCTCTGAACCACATCCCCAGCCCTTTCTTTATTTTTATTTTTATTTTGAGACAGGGTCTTGCTAAGTTGCTTAGGACCTTGCTGAATTGCTAAGGGTGACCTTTGATTTTGCAGTCTTCCTGCCTCAGCCTCCCGAGACACTGGAATTACAGGTGTACACCACCATGCCTGGCTTAACCCTCAAAATTCTCTTCCACCAAGAGTCACACTTTTCTTCTCCCACGTGGAGTAACTCTTATGGCATTATAATAGTGCATCTGTAAATAAGAGCAGAGGCACCTTGCAAATCATTGCTGAATAAATGTGTATTAAAGAAGTGATTCTCAATGATGCTGTGCATTAGACTCACCTGGGGAACTAGACCCAGGTCCTCTAAGCCTGAATCTGTTGGGAGTCTCAACACCAGGGTTCCATGTACAGCTGTGAAGTTTGTGCACTGAATCAAGGCACTTGGCTGGGGAACCCACTAAGGGCTGAAATCAGGCCAAGCTTAGCTCCCCACTATGTCCCTTGGCTCAGGGATGAGTCAACCCAAAGAGGAGACTTTTCCTGGGATTTGTAGCACATGCAAACACTCTGTGTTTGCTGACACCTTCCACAGGGTCATATCAATGACTCTTTAGCTCATCTTGCAATATAAGGAGGTTTGGGCACCTTCAGGATGTGAAGAGGAGGTGAAATTAATTGTATTCGTTAGAAAGGGCCTTTGGGGGAGATGCTAAGAGGTTAGAAATAAGCCTACCCTGTGCTGTTGGGAGATGCTTAATGAGATCTTTCCATTTGGCTTTTCTTAGAGGCTTTTCCTTTTATTTACAGAACACGAAAAAAACTAAAATAAAAGAATAATAGTTCCGCTCCTTCTCCTGCTTCAGTCAGCAGAGTTTAGCATCCTGATCTGCCTGAAGAGTCAGCAGTTTCCCCAGGGCCCAGGTGGAGGGGAGCAGGTAGAAGAAGACTGGCCCTGGATCTGGCGCTGTCCAGGGCACGCGGCCTCGGGGCTGGAGAGGGGGCTCTTTGACAGTATTGCAAGGGTGAAACTGCATGCGGCGGGGTGCAGGGTCTGCAGCGGGTTGTGTGGGCCTGAGGCCCTGTGTGCACCTGCCTGTGCCCGCTGCTGGGTGTCCTGGGATTGCCGTTTGGGTTCCCCTGGCTGAACAGCTTTGCTGAGCTGGAGACCGTCCAGTGTCAAGGACGTGTGTGTCTCAGGCAGAGTGTGTGTCCTTGAGGAGCCCAGGTCACAGTGAATGACGCAGCAGGCTACTTAGGATGGCAGAGTGAGCCAGGAGCCCTGTCACCCGCAGCGCGTTCTATCTGATGGCACATTCTCAGCAGATTGAGGACGAGACAGCCTAACCGCCAGGGTAGAATGGCCAGCTCCCTGGCATCTAGGATGGCAATGAAGCCCTGGCACCCCAGGAAAACGTGTGGCACTTCCTCCTACCCTGCCTTCCTGGACCTTTGGGACTTTCCTTATTCATTTCAGATATGAATTCTAGGCAGTAGTGATGGCACCAAGGTGACTTCTGTGTATTTAAAAGCTTGGTCCCCAGTGCAACAATGTCCAGAGGTGAGACTTAGAAAATGACTGCTCTGGAGGTCTCAGACCTCATCAGTGGATTAATCCACTTGCTGGATTAAGACTTCGCTTGGATTATTGGGAGGTTGGGCCTAGTTAGAGGAAGTAGGTCACTGGGGGCGTGACCTGGAAAGGCTTATCTTGCCCTGGGCCCCTCTTCTCTACTTCCTGGCTGCCCTGAGCCGAGCAGCTTTCCTCCTCCACACCCCTCCACATGATGCTCTGTCTCCCTCAGGCCCAAAGCAGTAGAGCCAGCTGCCTCTGAGCCACAGAATCACGCTGTCCTCCTCCAGGTGGCTCAGCCAGGTATTTGGCCACAGTGATGAAAACCTGACCGATGCTCCAGGTCACACACACTGTTTCCTTGGCTTCTGCATTTCCTTTGGAAGGAGGGGAGGGAGGACAGAAATAAGGAGAGGAGGGGAGGGGGAAAGGAGAGGGAGGGGAAGTGAGGAGGGAGGGAAGCCCTGCTTTGGTGAAGTTTGGGGTTTTAGAATGTGCGACTCAAAGGGTGCACCCCAGGGCTGGGGTGCAGCTCAGTGGCAGGACCCTTGCTTAGCATGCTCAAGGCCCTGGGTCATCTCCAGAACTGCAAAAATTAAAAAATAAAACAGGAGTGCCCACAGGCTGGCACGCCCTGGAGGGTGCACCTCTGCTCGGTGTGCAGGGAGACCTGGGCGCAAAGAGTCGTGAGATCCCTTCTCTTACCCGGCTGCGCTCCTGGTAGGGGGGCTGGCATGCAGAGCAGGTTGTGGTGCAGAGTGGGCAACGTCTCAACAGAAGGGAGAACAGGGGAGCACAGCCTGGTGGAGAGGACGAGCCACCCTGGCTGCAATCGTGCATCTGGGCAGGCTCTGCGGGGGGTCTGGGGCAGGTCTTGGAGATGAACACGGGCTTGCTAGGTGGCAGGGAGGCCTGTGCTCTCAGGAACTTCTACAGGTGACCAAGTCACTGGCTTGGGCTGACTAGGTCTCTTGCAAGGGTCCTCTCAAAGGTGAATGAGCACCAAACATAAACCTTAGATGCCGATTCCCATTCGGTTTGGTGGGTGGGGTCTCAGGGGCCATGGGTGAGTCAGGGGGCCTCACCGAAGTGGCTCCAGAGGGCAAGAGTGGGCACATCTGATGAGCGCCCAGCACTCTTATACTGTTGGGGGACTCAGGGCAGACCAGGGCGGCCTCCCTCCTCAGAGTGCTCGGGAACTTGGAGAATGGGAGTAATGGAAGAGCCCGAGAGGCCCCCATTTGATCTGGAATCTTCCCCTAAACCTGTGCTCACTGTGACTTTCTTTTCTAAGGCCACTCTCAGCTGTAGGTGTCTCCTGCCATTCTCTTCTCCAAGTGTCTCTGGAGCTCTGGAAATAGCCGTCTCTGTGAGGAACGTTTCCCTGCTCCACATGGAAAAACAGTTTCACTTTGACCTGATTCTGATCCTGTGGATCCCTGGAGATGCTCTGGGAACAGGAAGCTCCATCAAAGCTCCATCTCCTCCCTGTTCCCTGCATCCCTCTGAGGCCCAAGGGATTGGAGAGCGTCTCTAGTCTGAAGGTCTCTGGTCTCTAGCAGGAAAATTGGTTAAAATAAGAAAAAAAATCCAAACAGGAATAAAGTAATGAGTTAAAGAAACACCATGAAACACATGGGCTCCGTGTGGTGCAGTTGTGGGGTTCCCCAGGGTCTAGAGGGGAGGAGGGTGATTGTTTCTGGGAGCTGAGCATGGCAGATACGGGCAGGGGGCTTGCTCCCGAGACCCCTCCTCACACAGCATCCAGGTTTCCTGGTCCTTCTACACGCTGCCTGTGGACCATCCCTTCCCGCTCAGGTGCCTTTCGGCCAGTTCTGTGCCTGGAACTCTCTCCCGCCCACCTTTCCTGTGTCCTAGTGAACCGTGGCTTTTCTTCTGGGTCTCCCTTCTCTGACCCCGCAGAGTGTAAAATGGCAGGCCATACGGAGGGGCATCGGGAGATGAGAATGTGCTGCTAAAACGGGGCCATCTGGGCCCACTGGGGTGATGCAGACGCTGACGTGTCTGTCCCCACCACAACACTGGGCACATGTGGAAGGCACGCCACCACTGTCCTCCTTACAAAGAGGGGGCAGCTCCGCAGTGCCCTGTGCATCCAGCTCACAGCAAATGCCCCAGATGCTCACATGGAAATGTGGGCTTGGACTCACTGTGGAAAGGAGTCAGGTGGGTCAGGAGGACAGGAAGGGGCGGGGCCCTGGGTCCAGAGAGCAGCCTGGGGCAGGCAGGTGTGACGGAGCAGGGCAGGCTGTCCTGACTGTGGGGGGCTTGGGAGGGGCTGAGGTCCGCTCCAGGAAGAGGGTGAAAACCCATCAAGACTCAGGGCTTGGATGCTTCTGTAACATATTAAAATGTTGCATCATTTCAAGCAGGAAAAAATATGAGTTTTAAAAAATACTGCTCTGCGAGTGTCAGAGGAAATCCCTGGGGGCGCGCTTTAGCTATGGTTGTAGCCAAAGAGGAGGGAGAGGATGGGAGTGAATCCCATAATACTCAGGATGTTGTGGGAAAGACAGTCCAGAAGCAGCAAGCAGCAGTCTGAAGCGGGAGAATTCCAGACGTTATTTTACAACGGCAGGCCCAGAGGAAAACAAAACTCCAAATCCTGAGCTCCCAAACACAGTTTCTCACAATATTTACAGCCTATCTAGGGTCACGCATGCTCTCGTCTGCTCCATATGCAATTGTGCACGAGGTTTCTAGCAGGATGCATGTTTACAGAAGCAGAGTGGGATAAGGGGAAGAACCGGCACCTCTTGCAAGGCCTTTGATAAGTCTCTGGCCTTGGGCCTGGAGCCTCCACAGGAGCCTCTACACTTCACAGGGGAGTAGTTGGACTCCCAGGGGAAGTTATCTCCAATCCAAAAGTAGGGGCCCCTGGTCAATCAGGCTTCCTGAAAAAGGCTGAGAGAGGGAAGGGAACCCCTTCCCCAGGCATTGGTTTCTTACCATCAACAACACTCTTATCATTTCATCTCACAACCGGGTCTGGTGCTGCCATCACAAGGAGGCTGCCCTATACTGTTGGTCTGGGTGTCGGTGGGGAGTCAAGGAGCAGGCCGGGCGCAGGTTGCACCCGACTTCTCGCTGGAGAGTCAGGAGAAGGCGAGGAGTGGGCTTGGGAGGCGCAGAGGGGCCGGGTTGGGAGTGCCCCATCTTGAACACCAGGGGCACGGAGGCGGCCAGGACCCAGGTCAGCTCCGTGGGTTTGGAGCTCAGGTTGTAGTTCTGGGCCAGAGTGAAATTTAATTACCCACAGCAAATGGATGCTAATTAAGGTAAGGAGTGGAGGAAATTGTCCAGGGAGACCTTGCAGATTAAGCAGAGAACAAGGCCCCAGACGGGACCCTGGAGAATAGCAAGATGATTATGAGGCCGAGGAAGAGGAGCAAAGGGGACTGAGAGCAGGGCCAGAGAGAGGCTGCAGGAGACAAGCTCAGGAGCGGCCCTTGTCCAGGCTCTGCCCGTCCAGCTTAACTGGCCTGCACACCGCCGGAGGGAGGTGGGGAGGGGGAGAGCACTGGCCTGACCCAGCCTCAGCCAGGGGAGGCTGATTAACTCTCCCCCAGTCCTCTCCACACCCACCATGGACGCGGGGATACAGGGAGCTGAGGTTCTCCTCGGACAGGTCACCCTTGGGGGTTCTCCTCCTGTCCCTAACGATTTCACACGGAGGACAGTGCTTCCAGGAAGAGCAAGAGCAGGCGCTTCCTGCCCGGGTGGGTCGCCTGTGCTTCCAGGTCTGATGACATAGTCACCTGGCCTTGGCTGGACCTGCCAACCCCGAGGCTGCTTCAGGCGCTGAGAATGCCAGCGACCACAGCCTTAGATTTGGGGAGGTCTCGGGCACCACCCTTTGGGGGAGGGGAATCCCCTGTGAAGTTCCCGATCATTTCAGTGGATTCCCTCAGCATGGAGCACCTGCTTTTGGTGAACACTGGGCCCAGTGGAGAACAGAGAGGAGACAGCCCTGGGCCTGCAGGTGCCCTGGGATGCACACGTAATTGGATGAGCCTCCGCAGAGCATGCTGGGAGCCAAGGAATGAATCCTTGGAGAAGTGATGCGCTGGAGGGTGGGGCCACCCGAGGAGAATGGCCAGCAGGCGCTTGGTGGAAGGACAGCGGGTGGGTGGAAGATCGGCAGGACACAGGACCCGCTGAAGGAGCCACAGGAGGTGTACTGGGTGCAGACCGGGCCATGTGGGGCCCTGTGTGCTGTGGACAGACTTTGTTCTGAACAGAGGGGAGGCCAGCTCAGGTGTGTAGAAGGTGCTGGCCTGGCCCTGCTGACACTGATAAAAACACCCAAGGACACACTTGCTTCCAGGGTTAGTGTTCTGCACTGGGTGCCCTATAAACCTTCAGAGAGTTGCTAATGGCTTTGCAACACGACCTGGACCAATGGGTGGTATCCATGGAGGGTGTGACAAACTCTTTGAAATAGCCAAAATTAAAACCACCACCAGTTAAATGCTTTTTTTTTTTTAATTAGCCTTTCAAAAGTAACAGCTGCCGAATTTCCCTGATGAGCTAGTGACCTGATGGCAGTTTAGACAACAATCCACCCACTGAGGTCTGGAGGCTCAGCAGGGTCTCATCTTGACCTTGGAAGAACAGGTCTGCAGGAGCACAGACAGCTACCCAAGGGACCTGTGCACGAGGACAAGCAGCTTAGACACCCTTCTGTGACCTCTGTGACCTGCCAGGACGTTTGGCCCAGAACCTGTAGTGGGTAAAGCAAAGGGTCACTGGGCTGGGGTCTCACAAAGGAGGCAGAAGATGACATGCACACGCAGTCTCGAGTCCAGGGCCACTGGGCCCCAAGGTGTTCAGAGACAGGAGCTGGACTCCCCAGAGACCTCCACACTTGTCCCAGCTGCTCAGGTCCATCTCCAAGAAAGGCTCTGCTTTCTCCTCTCAGCTGTCTGCACATAAAATGTTCAGTCCTGCAGGATATTTTGTCCCAACAACCTGACTCTTCATCCTGACGCAAGCTCTGGGTGAAAGTGGGCAGAAACCACGTCACTCTGACTTGATCCTCACCCTGCCCCCTGGCACCCACAAGCCCTGTGTCCTGCCCTGTGAAATAGGAATAATCATAGGCCCTTCTGGTCTCCCTGGTGCTGTGGACTCCTGAGAGGGCAGGGAAGGGTCTGTGTCAGCCCAGAGTTGCTGAGACCTAGTGAGGGATGAGCCCACCTGGAGGCCTGGTGGACCTGGAATGGCTGACCCAACGTTCCCTGCAAGTGGTCATGTCTGACGCACACAGCTTAAGACCCTCCACTGGACACCAGGTGATAAGGGTAGAGCACCCCGACTGTGGAAAACAGGTGGCCAGGGCTCCAGACACATTTAAGAACACTCACTGTGATAAGTCTAAAAACCGCAGAAAGACCAAGTCTACACACAGATGCTTAAACACCAAACCCGCCCAATCACCCCAGGGCCCAGGGCAGTGGGGACAATTTCACAGAATCGTCTCAGTCCTTCCAGCAAACAGGCCTTCCTACAGAGGAAAGGATTGGGCACAGGGAACAGGTGTTGCTCTGCTCGGCTTGGGGTCCTTCCAGACGGGGACCTTCCTGGGGCTTCCCACTGAGCTGGGGCACACAGCCGTCTCCCTGCCCAGTCTCTGGGCCCACTGTCCCCCAGCAGCCTCCCTCCTGACAGAAGCACTCTGTTAGTGCCAGAGGTCCACGAACGAGCAGGGGATCAAGTCTCTGCCTCAAGTTAGGTCCTGGACTGCTCTATTGACCAGGTCACTTCTGTCAGGATTTAGCTGGAAAAAGACTTAGACCGAGAGGTTCACTCTAAGGGGACGGATCCGTCCAGTTGAGATAAAAGTGCATCCACCACAGGGGTACAGGGGACCCTTGGGGACCTGACTGCGGGGACCTAAATGTCACAGACCACTGCTGGCTCTGGCCACCAGCCCCCGGCCCTCCTGTGCCTCTGCTTCTCTGTGACGCGTTCTGTCCTCCTCTCTGAAGCCAACTCCCTCCCGTGGCCTGACCCTGCTCCAGCTGGACTCACTCAGCACCCGTCTGCAGAGCTCGGGTGTCCACCCGTCCGCAGAGCTCGGGTGTCAGCTCTGACCCGACGTCAGGTGGACTTCTTGTCCTCATGGTGCAATTCCCACACCGTAGAGTTGACCGTTTTGTGTAGCTCTCTGGTGGGGCCACTGGAGCTCAGACACCAACCATCAGGCAGAACGAGCGCCTTCACCCTGCTGCGGAGCCTCCAGTTCTTTCTAATCCCCACTTCCAACGCCCCCCCCCAAAAAAAAAACCCATCCCCCAGAGGAACTTGCTCCCGCTGTTCTTCCTCCCCCGTGGCCTGGGTTCTGTCCCTGTGGATGCACCTGTTCTGGAACCCCCAAGGGTGGGGACATTGGGAATGTGCTCTTTATGACCAGCTTCTTTATGGCATCTTAGATTCACCTACATGGTAGCTTGTGCCTGTGCCTCGTCCCTTTTATGGCTGAACAGTATTCCATCCCAGGGAGAGACCACCTTGGTTGACCCCTTTGTCTGTGGGTGGACACTTGGGCTGGCTCCACTTTCTGGGCCCTGGTGGACGCTGTGCCTGTGAA